AAAACCAGAACCACCTCGTATCATCCACAATCCGACGGGATGGTGGAACGATTTAATCAGACGTTGGAAAGGTACCTGGCAAAAGTCATAGAGACTTGGCAACGAGACTGGGACAAACACATTTAACCATTTTTGTTGGCATACCGAAGCGCGGTCCATGAAAGTATGTCTGTGACGCCAGCCTTTGCAAACTTTGGAAGAGAACTACGATTGCCCGCAGATTTAATTACTAGTACCCCGCCTGATAGTCCACGTAGCATGACTGACTATGCGGACGATTTACGTCATAAGATGAATGACGTATATGACCACATCCGACAGTCCAGCCAACAAATGTCTGAAAGGATGAAGACCCGATATGACCGGAAGGCGAACAACCAAGGTTTCGAAAAGGGTTCCTTCGTGTGGTTACATAATCCTGTGCGCAGCAAGGGAAAGTCCCCTAAATTACAGCCGATGTGGGACGGGCCATATCGTGTTGTGACTAGAATCAACGATGTCACCTACCGAATACAGAAGAGGTCGAGAACTGCACCCAAGATTGTTCATGTGGATCGTTTGGCGTGGTATTATGAGTGTAATGATGCTCGGGACGAGCATGCCTTAAGAGGAGGGCAGTGTCGCGCCTGCTCTAAAAACAGACTAGCACCATGATGCGGAGAGTGGCGAAACAAAAAAGAATGTTTTTGAAAAAGAAAAAAAAAAAAAACATTTCGAAAAATTAGAACGTTGGAGAAGTTTATCTTTTAATGAGAGATATAAAGTCTTTGTGATTAGTGCATCTAAAAAGTGTATCTAACAAGTGTAAAGAGTGTAAAAAGTGAGTGTATCTAAAATTTCGTTAAGCTGTATTTTGAATTTATATCCCGAGCCCCATAGCTCGTAATAATATCATCAAACAAATGTGTAATATGCGGTCCGAGTTAAAAATGGTGCATGAAAAGCCCAGGCACTCACAAAGTCAGGGTTCAGTAGAAAGATGTAATCAAGACGTAAAAAATATGCTTAGTTCTTGGTTGGAGATTAACAATACTAACAAATGGTCGGAAGGATTACGTTTTGTACTACTGATGAAAAATCGAGCGCATCATACTGATATAAACTGCAGCCCCTATAAGGCCATGTTTGGAGCAAAGTTAAAAGTTGGACTAAAGAATTTTACACCCAACGAATCGTTGTTCAACGCTAATACGGAAGAGGATCTACAGAGACATTTTAAAACTATCAAAAAAAGTAACTCAAAGTTGCTCAAACTCTGAAAGTCCGAATACCGTCCAAGAAAACATGAAATATTATCTGATAATGCCATCCTTACATAGCAATATAACTGATGAAGTTCAAAGATCTACATCATCTCCACGTGAAAAAAATCTAAACCAGGATGTTATTCGTATTAGAGAATTGGTGAATGAAGAAGAAACAATCCAAACAATTGATCCAAAAAAAAGAAGAAAAATAAGAAGTGTGTCTAAAACAAGGGCTTTGTTTAATCTTAAAAAGCAAGCAGAAAAAATGATTAATACATCAAATTCCAAATACACAGCAGCTATTGTTGGTGATACAGTAAGGATTCGTGTACCTGATGAAGATCAAGCCCACAGTGATGGAACAAATATTTATGTGTTGTTGTTGCGGTAAAAGATAAAAACCTTTACAAACTGGGTACCAAACACGGCATATTAAATCTATTATATTCCAGAAACCAGTTTACTGTTTGTAAAAAAAAAAAAAATATATTTCTGTTGGAGATGTACCAAGTGCAGAAATTTCACTTAGAGAATGTGCAAAAATGTCATCAATTCCTGATGGCCACAACTATAGTTAATGCTGCTGAAAAATTGGTTGAAAATCTAATAGATGCAAATGCTACTTACCAAAGAAAAAAAATTATGTAATTCCAAATGTCATGAAAANTTTCAAATTCCTAATATAAAGGATATAAATGCTTTTGTATGATTTAAAGCAAAAATATTTAATAAAAAAATAGTAAAATAAAGAAAACGAAACCTTCCTGAAAATAATTGCAAAGATCTTAGTATTTTTGACAAGATTATATTCTTTCGTAAAATCTATATTTTAAAGGCTTATCGAATTGTTCAATGTACAATTGTTATAAATAGTGAAACATAACTGTACACTACAAATAAGAAGATCAGGCACAAACAAATAGCACTATGCAGTCTAATTTTGATATTCTTTTTCCTAAATGTGGGAGACAATCTGGTTAACATCTCTCGTCTACACGGGTTTGCTATCTAAAGCAAACAGTTTACTGTAAAAAAGTGTGCTTAATATTATATCTTACAAAAGAAGAAGAATGTCGCAATGTATCTAAGTATAATTCAATTTAAACGGATAAGAATCGTGAGTGTCATACGTGACAACGCATGCAGCAACGATAAAAGTTCTTCAAATGAGCTCTGATTGCGTAGGGCCTACATGATTTTTAATTTGAAAGACCAAAAAATCGTAATTACATTAATTTGAATTGTGTTGTTTATTATGAAATAACTATACTGTATAAACTATTAAGCAAAATTTATGAACTTACCTCAAAAAAAAGAAGGGTTCCATAATATAAGTTGCTTGAGATATAATTTCTACAGCAACATCATCAGATATATTTACAATATTTATTAATTTTTCTAAAATACGAACACAAAATAAATAATCAGTGCGGATGTTCCAATATTTTTCGGATATAAAAAGTATTTACTTATTTAATGTTGTAAATTTACTCCATACATATTCACGAAATACAGTAGAGCCTCGAAAACTCGCCACTCGATAACCCGGCATTCCGTATAACTCGGCCACATCCTGGCAGGGCAAAAAAATCCTTAGTTAATTAATTTTTATGATAAAGACAGCTTTATGCCTCATAAAGTATTTTTCTGAGGTCTGTCTTATCAGGTAAATTACTGTACAGTGTATTCATTAATTTTCATTTTCATGTAGTAAAGGCGTAAAAACAAAGGAAAAGTACGTCTTCATAAAAGACGTACTTTTCCTTTGTTTAAGGGTATTTGGGCAGTTTATTCTCTGTTGTATTCTCAAGTAAACAATACATACAAGTACAGTACAGTATTTTCTGAGGAAACACGCATACTTATTTTTTTAAACCCCATTCCTGATAACCCGGCATTTTCACAAACTCGGCCACCCTTCGGTCCACATTAGGCCGAGTTATCGAGGCTCTACTTGTACTTATATTGACCTATCAAACAATCTTTGTCCATGGTGTAAAACAAATCACTTTTCAATTGATCACTTATTTCAAAAATGAGTCTATTAACAATATGTGAAACTTTTAACATCTTCCGAATACTCCAAAACGACTCATCTCAAGATTATAGAAATACTTTAAATAGTCTGAATAAAAAGATCTCTACAGTCTGTATAACTTTTTCACTAAAATCACAAAAATGTTGTAAATCTACACCAGTATATTAAACATCACCAACATTGTACATCTGACTACTAATGTAAAATAATACTATTGTAACTATCAAATTGTTCAATACTAATATCCTATATATTATGAAAATATTGTAAAAAAAAATTATAATATCTCATTGTACAACCCCCTGCAACAGGGAAACTTCCCTTTATGCCAATAAATATTGTTATTATTACTATAATTATATATTTATTTTGTTTGTGCAAAATAAAGAAATAATTTTTAAGGATACAACATGACCGCGCCAGTGTTGCCAGCTAAACACGCACACAACAAAAATAATATTGGAGTAGCCCAAGACATAGCCAAATATTGCAGCGCCACAGCACTAGCAGATATTTGAATTTGCCAACTGGAACTGGAAGGCTTTCGGTTAACCAATGTTTTGGTTGATATGTATTCGGTTAATCGATGCTCTTCTCTAATTATATATGTGAGATTAGCCGGGGGTACCTTCCAAGGGTACCACTTACTCGGCACAGATTAAGTGAAATCTGTTCTCTCAGTTTCGGATCACGAGATCCGGTCTTTAAAAATTTTATAGGAGGGCTGTTAAAATTTAAACCGATCAGAACCGTAAAGTCCCGATCTACATCAAGGGCCTGACACCAGTTTATCAATTTATCGTTACGCGGATAAACACGCGTGTGGAGATCTGATTCAGATAACAATCAAGAGACATTTCTTAACAATAATAAAGAAAATTTAATGATAAAAAAAATAAACTAAATTATACAGATATGGGAATAGTTAAATATTCAAAGACAATCGATTGAGACCACAAATAAATCAAATTAAACGCGCCGAGAGAAAGAGCTCACAAAATTATTATAATCATACAACCTTTTAGATGACTTTATCTTCTTCTGTATTGAACGAAGATACTTTCTTGATAAAGTTCTCTGTCTTTGGTTCATGAAGAGGTCTTGATAAGCACAAAATAAAATATATCTTCCTTCTATTATTTAACTTATTATTATAGTTGATTTGTTTCGACTATAGGCTTGACTCAGGGAGATCGAATGGACTAAGGCGATCTCATCTGGGAGCCTCCGGCGTATTTCTAAGGGCGTCAGCCTTAGGGAGCAAATATGTGGACTTCTTCTCACTCTCAGATCTTCAGACGAACTCCCCGAAATCAGTTAAACTTCGACTATATCTCTTGATTAGCGATCAATCATCATGTTTCATTTCTTTCACGTGAACGGATGAAAAGGGAAATAAATGAGGGGTCGTCAGTTTTCATGATGGTGAGATTTGTAACAGAAAAGGGAAAAACAAAGGATGCTTCAGTTTCAGTTAAATAAAGTGACTTTTTTATCAGTTTTCCCACGTTAGAAAGCTTAATTTCTCACCAAAACAAAAGAATATTTTTCTACAAAAATTTAATTTTATTTTTAAATTATTATTTAGACCCAGTGGCTATTCGGATCTGACATATATAATCGCGGAAAAGTAGCCTAATGTAATCCGATGGTTGTTTGGCTTTACAAATTTATGGAGTTTCATAANATTTTTAAATTATTATTTAGACCCAGTGGCTATTCGGATCTGACATATATAATCGCGGAAAAGTAGCCTAATGTAATCCGATGGTTGTTTGGCTTTACAAATTTATGGAGTTTCATAATGTTTTTTATGTATAAAATGTTTAATGTTTTATATAAAATAATGCGATAAGATGTGTACAGAACAATTTATAATTATTACGATTTTTAAATATTAAAAATTATCTGTAAATATTAAAAATTAGTATTCATTTACCTGTTGTTGTATACACAATTCCCGAATGTAAGATTAAATGTGAAAAAACTATGATACAAGTAAGTAAGAATTTAATTCCACAAATAAATCTTGTCTCGTTATTGAAGTCGGTAGTGAAAAGTTTTTGATTTGATGTAATTAAAGATACTGAAACGAAGCTCTGTAGAATTTTGCCTAAAGAGAAAAAAAACCAATTTAATAAACTGATAACAATTACAAATGAATTTATTAAAAGTAATAACAATAATAAATTAATAATAAAAATTACAATAAGTAAGGTAAACGGAGAAAAGGTGAAGGATAAGAGAGTAGACGAGAGTTTCTGTTTTTAAACTTTGAAGCAGGTGATATTAGTTATCTTAGTACACAAGTAACGATGAAGAAGAATAAACATTTTATAAAATTCTTTTTGAAATCTACATGGTTTTCAAGACATTTTAAAGGAGTTGTTTGACAGTTAACCTTTTTAAGTGTCTGAATTTTCGAGCAGTCATTGTGATACTTTTAATACACCTTTAAATAAATATAATATAGCAGCTGATGCCTCTTTAGGTTAAGTTTATATCAATGTTGTATGGTAAATTTGTTTTATTTTTCCAAGTTTTAACAAAAAAATGAAGGTGCATCTGCACTTTTAACGAGAGTTGATATAATGCAAAGGAAAAAGAGATGATTATAATTTCCTATACATTTTAGTATTGCTAAAGTATGGTACATACTGAAATACTATTCTAATTATGTATTTTCTATTTATAAGATAAACTATGATGCCAAATACTTATATTAAAAATTCAAACCATTTATGATATTACATGTAGCCTATTCACAAGTTTCTAAAGGTTCATGTATTTTCTCATATTATGGCACCACTGTCGCGCCACCATTAATATACTACATGAACTACAAAACTGCAGTACCATAGAATTAAATAATTAAGAATATAATTAATTTTGAAATTACTAATAGCAATTCATTCATACCCATTTTAAAAATAATTCTAAGCATTTTTATATTCTATATTATAAAAAGAGTAATTACAATAGTTTTTACACAAGTGTAAATTTTTTTTTTAACATAAAGAAAAAAGTATGTTAAATCCATCATGGGACAATGTGTTTTAGAACTGATGAAAATTTAAATTAAAATTAAGTAAACTTAAGGGTAACTGGCTTCTATTCAAGCGTTACACACATGGAAAAAACTCGAAAACTCCGGGTGGCCAGCTTNAATTAAAGATACTGAAACGAAGCTCTGTAGAATTTTGCCTAAAGAGAAAAAAAACCAATTTAATAAACTGATAACAATTACAAATGAATTTATTAAAAGTAATAACAATAATAAATTAATAATAAAAATTACAATAAGTAAGGTAAACGGAGAAAAGGTGAAGGATAAGAGAGTAGACGAGAGTTTCTGTTTTTAAACTTTGAAGCAGGTGATATTAGTTATCTTAGTACACAAGTAACGATGAAGAAGAATAAACATTTTATAAAATTCTTTTTGAAATCTACATGGTTTTCAAGACATTTTAAAGGAGTTGTTTGACAGTTAACCTTTTTAAGTGTCTGAATTTTCGAGCAGTCATTGTGATACTTTTAATACACCTTTAAATAAATATAATATAGCAGCTGATGCCTCTTTAGGTTAAGTTTATATCAATGTTGTATGGTAAATTTGTTCTGTTTTTCCAAGTTTTAACAAAAAAATGAAGGTGCATCTGCACTTTTAACGAGAGTTGATATAATGCAAAGGAAAAAGAGATGATTATAATTTCCTATACATTTTAGTATTGCTAAAGTATGGTACATACTGAAATACTATTCTAATTATGTATTTTCTATTTATAAGATAAACTATGATGCCAAATACTTATATTAAAAATTCAAACCATTTATGATATTACATGTAGCCTATTCACAAGTTTCTAAAGGTTCATGTATTTTCTCATATTATGGCACCACTGTCGCGCCACCATTAATATACTACATGAACTACAAAACTGCAGTACCATAGAATTAAATAATTAAGAATATAATTAATTTTGAAATTACTAATAGCAATTCATTCATACCCATTTTAAAAATAATTCTAAGCATTTTTATATTCTATATTATAAAAAGAGTAATTACAATAGTTTTTACACAAGTGTAAATTTTTTTTTTAACATAAAGAAAAAAGTATGTTAAATCCATCATGGGACAATGTGTTTTAGAACTGATGAAAATTTAAATTAAAATTAAGTAAACTTAAGGGTAACTGGCTTCTATTCAAGCGTTACACACATGGAAAAAACTCGAAAACTCCGGGTGGCCAGCTTGTCCGAGCAAGGTACTCACCCTGAACCAAACTCCCAGTATTCATGAAATGGAACCGCTTGGACACTGTTGGGACAGCAATATTTTAAAGGTCTCCAATACATACACCCTCTTATGGCAGAATTCAAAAACACTTTCTGTAAACTTGTGGATAAGTTTCTGAAGACAAAGTCTGTCCAAAAAGCAACTATCATTAATTTATCTCGTCGTTCCAGACTACAGTTTGCAACACGAGATAAATAAATGGTGGTTTCTTTTTGGACAGACTTTGTCTTCAGAAACTTAATTTGTCATTTGGACAAAAATTTACAAATAAAAGTTTTACAATGTGTCATCACCAGGAGTAATATAGAAATGATACATTTTTCTCGTCGTTCCAGACTACAGTTTGCAACACGAGATAAATAAATGGTGGTTTCTTTTTGGACAGACTTTGCCTTCAGAAACTTAATTTGTCATTTGGATGAAAATTTACAAATAAAAGTTTTACAATGTGTCATCACCAGGAGTAATATAGAAATGATACATTTTGGGTTATAAAATTAAATAGTATTAATTAATAAATATATTTAATATAAAGTGATAATATAAAAATGTGGACACAAGATAAGAATTTAATAACAAGTAATAATACAAATCAAATTAAAACGATGACACAACTTAAAAATTTTTGAAAATTACACCCTCTGCTGTACAGTCCGTACCGTGAACTAAGTCGTGTTGGCTCTGCGTTATGCTCTTTGTTTAATGGATAAGCATGTGGGGTCTATCAACAATGTGAGTTTTTTCATCTGTAGATAATATACGATTAGAGTTTAAAAAAAAGAATGGTTGCTAGTTTTTAAAGAAAATATGATTGATATCGCGAATATAGACAAGCAAACTGTTGTAATATAATTATTAACGGAATTAGTGGACTGCATTTTTTAATCTATTTTGTTAATTTTATTGACACCTTCATCGATACCCAAAGCGAAACCCCTTCAAGTAAGCTGTATGGACCCGCATTTTTAAAAATTTATTTGTTAATTATTTCTAACACCTTGATTAAATACCCAAAGCAGTCCCTTCGAAGTAAGCTGTGTGTACTGCATTCTTTCATCTATCCAGTAATTTTTTGTTCATAGACTTACTTCTTTTTCATCAATACATCGTCAGACACAAAACGTAAGTTTTTTCTCTATCAATGATGTTAGAAATATCCCGATATATTTCTTATTGATATTTGTAGTTAATACAATTAATTATTAAATTTAAAAACAATTGACTCTTTTAACTATCTTTTCTTTTTTTAAAATCGATATGTTACAGATTTTAATTTTCTACTTCTTTTTCTTCATCGAATTTATTTAATTTTTCCATTATATCTTCAACAATGTTACTAATATTCTGAAGTATACAGACTAGCAAACTGTGAAAATTTTCAGCGTTATATTTATGATCTAGTTTTTGATATTTAATAATATAACACCAGAAAAGATGGTATTTAAAATCGTGAATAAAATCTTCGGTCATTATTTGATAACGAGAAACCAAATCCCAGTGGAGAAAATCTTGTAATTCTAGCAGAGTATCGGTTTTTAATTGCTGATATTTTAAAAGTATTCTCATATTTAATTTAGCAATATATTTCTTAATAAAATTATCAGACAGAAGTTGAAATTTTGCTATTTTATACCAATTAAGATGAATTCTTCATCTAATATTTGATGTTCTGAAATTAAATCCCATTTTGAGTGATTAATATGTTTTTTGATAAACATAGTAGTAAATATATAATTTTTCTATATTAATTTCCAGTTTAAATTAACCAAAAATTCGGAAATGAAGTCTTGGCATAAATCAGTTTTTCGGCTTATAATCTCCCATTTAATATAGCTTTTAAAACGTCTGATATTATTTTTATCCATCGATATACTCGAGAATTTTTCCCAGTCAAGTGGTGTAATGTGTTTGGATTCTATTAAAAAAAAACTCAGTATTAGGGTATAATTTTATATATATATACTAACTGCAAGGACCCGCTTTACTGGGCATAAAGTAACGATAGTGAAGATTAAGATAATTACATTATAGCCAATCTTACCCGTTTTCACAGAATGCAAGAATTAGGTCCCCCGTTTTCACAGAATGCAAGAATTAGGTCCCCCGTTTCCAGACTAATTAGTGACCTGGTCCCGATTCTATTTCTGAACGTCTCCTGTTCATATCCAGTCAAACAAACTATTTTCAACGTTTCTGGAACGTTTACAATCGTTCTATAATCAAACCAATATTCGAATTTTATTTTCGAATTCAAATTCGAATATTGTTCGAATTAAATTCGAACATAACATTCGAAATAGAAAACCACTTTCAACCACTTTCAGCCCTAAACCTCCCGCACCTTTATAGCTATCGAGACGCAACCCCCATAGTGCACGAATGGAGACTTGGGGCTACCACCACATACAAACAGCATTCGTGTGCGATGTGTAGTTTTTGCAGAAAAGTGAAATATAGTGACACACACGTCCATTTATATATATATATATATATNCGCTTCTGCCCTTGGTCACAACTGTCCTTTACGCGGATAACTTGTATTTAATAGCGACTAGTACCAATCAGTCTCAAGCAGCTAACTACGCGCAACGAGCTTTAAATTCCTTGGACCACTGGGTGGCTAATTGAAGCCTTTCGTTATCTGCGAAAAAAAGTGCAGTAGTAGACTTCTCCCCTAAGCGTGGTCGCCCAGAATTCAGATTAACTCTGAGTTCTGGGAGCATCCCTCAACAGACTTCATTATGCATTCGTAGGGTCCATTTTCACCAGTCTTTCATGTGGATGGCTCACGCAGACTATCTGTGATTGAAATTGACGTGGGCCGGCTCTTAAAATATTTTACTTCCAGATGGACTGGTGCCCACAGGATGAGCATTTTATGCTTTACAAATGCAGTACTAAGTCTGATAGCTAAATTCAGGGCACATTTACTGGTAGGAGTGCCACCATTCACTCTTAAACATATTGACAAGCCGTTTCACGAGGCACTAAGGACAGTTTTAGGTGTGCCAAAAACAACTCCTCTTGTTTCCCTATTTGCAGAGACAGGGTACATTCCTCTGAGATCCAGACTTCATCTGAGGTCTCTCCCATGCCATGACACATATATCTAGAGGGACTTACAGCCCCCTCCACAGTCTTTTTTACTCGGCGGACAGTTTGTCCTTTTACTGATGGCGCCAATTTCAAGTCCCATACATTCCATACATTCATTGGGTTCTTGCGGAGATTCTTCATACAGGCATTCCCACAACTCACCTATTTCGGCAAAGTAGTGTGCCACCGTAATTGTTTAGTGTCCATAGCCCACTGAGCCTCGAGGACTTCCACAATACTTCGGGACTCTTGCCAGAGGTTACGAGAGCACATATCCAGTTTACTGTGACAACCAAATGGCCAGGATGGACAAAGATTGGGGTAGACGCCTCTAAAACTAAGACCCGCACTACTGTAAGAGTAGTGCTCTCGAGCAGTGACAAAATGGAAGTCTGGTCAATCCATGAGATAAGTTGCGTATTTGACGCAGAGGCTCAAGAGCTTCAGTACTCAGAGGGTGCCATGTGTCGTTAAGTGGACTCCAGGCCATTCAGAAATTCCTGTAAACGAAGCAACAGACAAAGCAGTACGCTAACATACTCTTATCAGTTCCATTTCGAAGACTGCCACGTAACCTTGCCATCACAGTCTGGAATGACACTGTCCATTTATTAACGGACTCCTGGACAGCTACTCCTCGGAGGAAAAGAAGAGCGTCTCCATCCCTTCACCGCATGGTATTATCATTATGCCTCAATAGTCATATGGAAACTATGCTGGCTCGGCTACACATGGAGACAGCCCCACTAAATGACTTCCTATATTCCTAACAACTAAGTGATTTTCCAAATTGCCCTCACTGCAGGGCGCAGGAAACAACCCTTCATTTTTCGTTGCAGTGCCTGCAATAAGCAAGTCCCCAACAAGATTTGGACACACCTCTGCACACTAACTTATCTCACACCAGTACTCTGCTTTCTATTTATTAGCCGGTGAACACAATTATTTCTCGCCATCATGGAACAAAACTTGAATTATACCTCACTTGCACCGGTCGCTTCCATTAATCAATGAGTGAGGTTGTGTCAGAGAAAGAGCCTACACGGATAACATCTCCATATTAACCTATTAGGAGAAGAAGAAGAAGAAGGTATGGATTAAAGCAAGAAACAAGTCTGTATGTCACCAGTTTCATTTTTAGAAATTCTTGTAATTTTAATTGGATATATTTTTGTGATTTTCAAAAAGGACTTTTTTAATTTCTGGCAATCAGTACCGTAAAAAGAAAGGTCATTCGCCAAGAAAGTGTAGTCTGGAACACGAGATAAATAAATGGTGGTTCCTTTTTGGACAGACTTTGTCTTCAGAAACTTAATTTGCCATTCTGACAAAAATGTGAATTGTGGATAAGTATTGAATACTTTATCGTTTAGATTAATAATTAGAATATGCTTATATTATGCTGAATTACTATTGGTTTAAATTTGCAAATGTCAGGAAATAAAAAAAAACAAAAAAAGCGCAATGTTTCTATTAACACATAGTAGAGTTTTCAACTTTTACCTAGCATTGATTTCTTCATACTGCAACTCTCCTACTTTCAATACGTCATAATAACAATCATACAAGTCAAATACAAGTATCTTAAATAAATTTATTGTAGTTAATTTTGAATTATTTTAGTTTTCAAAATAACACTCTGTAAAGAGATTAACAATTATGGGATTACAATAAATTTATTGCAATTTTATAATTGGAATCCTTCATTATAATTCGTTCTGTAACATTGGAGACAGAACGATTTCACGAAATGTACATAGTATGTCCATTTCTCTCGCTTACCTTCTGCTTTATAATACAAGATATTATAATGGCTATAATAATTCTGTATTCCAGATTAGAAAATTATTATTATAAAGATATTTCTTTATTATAATAATATACTTTTAATTATAATTACAATCATTAATTAAATAAATATTCAATTAAAATTAATGATTTGACATAGCTGAAATATTATAATCTTGTTACAATAATTATAATAATTTTAAGCACTTTTATCGTTTCTTAAGCTAAGGATGTTTACAGTAGTAACACCTTTAAGTTATTATTTATATGAAAAACTTTAGTTTTTCCAGTTCTGTAATTATAATACATAAATGCCATTAAATTAGTGCTATGAAATATTTTAAAATTATAAAACTCTTACATCTATAATTAAGTAAATTAAAAAAGTAATTTTAAAAATATTCGTAAAATTATAAATATTTTTCTATTGGAGGAGACTTACCTTGTATCTTTAATGCTAGAAATTACAATATTTTTATGCAAATACAGTAGAGCGTCAATTATTCGAATCAATTGGGGACTGGGGTTGTTCGTGGAAAAAAATATTTTGGATAACCGATTATGTATGAAAAAATATATTAATTTATCCCATGTTGAAATTTTTCTCCGTTGCGTGTTGCTTCGCCTTGAATTTTCGTCGATGTTAAGCCTAATAAAGACTATTGTATCGTTAAAAATTATTTTTTTATTTTGTACAAACAAAAAATAAATATATTGAAAAATATAAAAACAATAAAAAATTATACTTCAGAAGTTAATTTAGTATCAAAAACGTAAAATATTTGAGTAGCCCAAGGAATAGCGAAAGATTGCAGTGCCACAGCACTGGCGAAAAATTAAATTTGCCGACTGGAATTCTTTCGGATAATTGACGTTTCGGATAATTGACGCTCTACTATATTATCAATTACGAATTGATCGGTTTATTGAAAAAGTGGAAAGAGTAGAAATTTGTTTAATTTAAATATATTATTTATATCACGTAACATTACTGTAATTTTACTGTGAATTATTTCGAATTGCAAAATTTTCTAGTACAGTATCAAAGAATTTAGTCATTATAAAACTGTGTAATTTTGAGTTTTTTCGTAAGGAATTTTACAGCATTCCAGTGCAAAACATGCAATAATTATCCGGAAAAACTTACAAAATAGAATACCTTTATAATAAATTTTGATACTATATAAGAGCAAGATGTTAGTCTAGATTATCATAATTTTTACTTAAGAAAAAACCCATTTACCTCCATTAAGTTGATGCTGTTTTGAAGTGATTCACCAATAATTCTAAATTATAAACTTATGCTTATAAATTTTTTCTATTGATGTTTTTTACAAATGATGTACAGTTAACTAATACGATTCCATTTTTATAACAATTAGATATTATTCGGGATCATACCTTTATCACAAGGAACATTAACTATATTCTGTATAATCAGAATCTCCAGGAATGTTCCAATAAAAACCCACGTTATAAAGACGCTGATTGCAGCTCTGAAAATATAAGTAAGATTTTCTGTTAGAAATAGAAATTACTAAATATGAAATACAGTAGAAAAAACATGTTAAGAAGTTTTTGAAGGAACTACTCTAAAAAAATCTTTTTAGGCGGGATCAGCTCTAATGGAAAATGTGTAAAAATAAATAATATTTTAAAATTTATTTTATTTGAATATCAAGGTAATATATAACGTAGTAGAATATAGAATAATAGTAAGGTGCTCTAACTACAGAAGGTATTCAAGTGACTGGTGTCGATATGACGTTTCAATGGTTAATAGACAGCATGGGGAAGGGGCAGGTTCAAGACAATATGACTCCAGCTAATTTAGCGATTACTTTTTAAAAAATAAATGTCATCTCTAATCTCAAGACTTAATTTTGAGAGTAGAGATGACATTTATATTAAACTTTTATATAACTTTTATATTAAAAATATAAAAGTTATATAAAAAATAAACTTTTATAGAAAAATATAAAAGTTTAACAATTTCATAACAGATGACGCCATACGCAGTTTTAAACATTGCCGGAAAGTTAAGCAACTCGTTGCTCCAATTTTTATACGTGATAAAGTTATGGTAAAAAAAGGATTACGATTTTTTTTCAACATAAACGTCTTCAATTGGTAAGATATCGTCGATGAGACTGATATTTTCGAATTTCTAATGCGGGAAAACGTGTTATGCAGGAAATTTTAACACAAATGTAATGCTGTGAATGCCAGGAGAAAAGAAATCGCACTTCTTTTGTGGGAAACCCTCTCAAGCGAGAACTTCGTAAACGGGTTCTGCTGTAATTTAAAAATATATTTGAAGAATTTCGTGAAAGATTATTACTTTTTTATAATTTTGTTTTCTTTTTATACTTTTCTATAAAAATTTTCTTAAAAATTAAAGAGTTGATAAGAAAAAACCAAGCAACACAATAAATCTGCTAACGAAAAATGCCTTCCTGGAGTACATTCGACAGGAAACTGGCTTTTAGGTGTTTGACATACGAAGAAAGCAAGAAATTCCACGTGGTGAGCTGTTGTTCACTTTCAAAGGAAGAACCAGCTGATAGCACTTGATATATTTATTCGTTAACCTAATTATATTGTAATACATGTCTTGTAATTACGAATTTGTCAATATTAATTACAATTGTGAATTTACTTTTTAATGTATTTCAAAATGAAGTTTTAAACTAATTTTAAATAGATGGTTATTTCTACAAGAAAAATTTCTAATTTTCATCTTTAATTTACAAACTTTTCGCACTTCTGTTTCAAATAATTGAAAATTATTTTATTAATATTATAATAAATTATACTTATTTATATGATTTGCTCACATAAATAATTAAACATTTTAAAAATATTTATAAATTTATTTTCATCATTTTCATAAAATAATATATGATAAAAATATCAACTGTTGTTATATTTTTATAAAATTTAAAACGCACATATATTATATTATTAGCACTTACATGCAAATTATTTGACTTGTAGACAGGCGAATCTTATCGTCTTTCACTTTGCAGAATTTCACCTCTGCTCTGTAAGAATCTTTCATTGCTGAAATGGCCAATAATTATTTAATTAATAATTAATTAACGTAAATTATAAGAAGAGTTAACGAACTGCTGATAACTTTTAATACGAAACAAAAGTAAAGTAGCACTTTGGATTGTTGAAATATTAAGTATAATTTAAAAACAATTACACATACACTATGTTGAAAATTTATGCCATTTTCCTGCAATATAATCCTAAGCATGCATATATACATACACATCTTCACGCTCATATATATTATTCTCCGCAGTTTATGTTAGTTTATGTTACTTATGTTATATTTAAAAAAAACTGTATAATGTCTTGTATTTTGTGTTTCTTGTCTTTATATATACTATATACGTTTCGGAATTGGTGTTAGTTATTATAAGTTAAGCCTCAGGCAATTTTTGATATTAATGTAATTAAATATAAAACATACTTAAAACTGAAAAAAACGAAACAAATGCGTTNTACATTGAGGTGAAATGTGTTTATTAAAAAAAAATGTATATAATCAGAGTTTCATTTTATAAATTTAATATTATGTATTAGAGTTCATCACTCAAATAAATACTATTTTAAAGAAATTATGGTTCAGTATAAACCATATAGTAATTCAAAGTTTAATGAATTGGTTTGATCACACAGTATAAATTTGATTTAAAAAAAGGCACTATTTTAATATTATTATTATTATTGCTACTGTACAATTTGAGTTAAATTCTTATACTTTATAATCTTTTACTTTCATTTCATTTTAGTAACTAATTTTTTAAAAGTCTTAAAAACATAAGTTTCGTTTTAATTCAATTACAATATAAATTTTAAAAAATTATATTTATATAGATTTCATATTAACCATTTGATAAAACGGATGAAATAATTGAATATAATCGTTATATAATATCAAAAATAGGAAGACCAGACATTTGGTATATCAATAAACAATCTATATGGTCAGTAAAAAACGTTTGTGAGAACCGAGGGGTTAATATTTATGCCCTGCATAATCAGTTCTCTGAAGAGGCCATAAACTAATCCATCGATATACTCGAGAATTTTTCCCAGTCAAGTAGTGTAATGTGTTTCCAGGACAACTACAAACCACGGTTGATTGGGAGCAATTGAAATGCGCACTACCCTCATTGGGATGACGGTTGCACGTGCCCACCACTTCCAACCACTTTCCAACCACTTTTATATTCCAACCACTTTAATCATAGTCTCAATCCCTCGCCCTTAACATACAGAGACCTTTTCAGGACGATGCAGACTTCGATTTCTTAGACCTCTGAGAGTTCTCTCGCCCACCAAAAGGACTGCCACCGTGGTAGACCCCATCCTGTAGGAACCTACAGGCAAAGAAGTGACGGGCTTTCAATTTTGCCCACAAATGTGCTTCAATAACTTGGTGAAACATATACAAACAACTGAGTGCGGAACTCCATCGGAGTGTCTGGCGTTCCAGATGCGAATTGTGGAGCCACACGTGTGCTAGGCCCATCACCATTTCTATGATATTCCAGATTTTCCGGCATTTGCACACCCCGCTGGAAAGTGCAGATGATCACCTTGTCCTTCAGACACCAAACGTACTTACGACGCCACCCCAACAGGCGGAAGAACTGGCAACTTACTTCAGTCGCTCCTGCCCGCAGAATTGTTTTTTGCCCCTCCTGGAACTTAGCTGGCCAAATGCTAGTTCTTACAACCAGCCTTATACATTACAGGACCTCCTACAAGTTTTCTGCTGATCCAAACCAATCATACCTGGACCTGACCACATTTCTGTTCAGGCCTTACGGGCGCTTCCACCAGAGGATTGTCGTATTTTACTTGCCTGCTTTAATAAGATTTGGGAAACAGGGATTTGCCCTCCAGACTAGAAAGTTGCACCTATATTTTCAATAGCTAAGCCAGGGCACTCGACAACAACAGTAAGTTTGTATCGTCTAATTTCTTTAACTTCAAACATAGCGAAGAGATTTGAAAGTACGGTATTACACCATATTCAACTGCAGCTGGTTCAAGAAAACTCCTTCAATAATCACTATATTGACTTCCTTCATTATCAGGGAGTGGAGGAGGCTCTTGTTACATTACATTATTACGTTGCAGTGACATGAGCTCAACACAAGTGGGTTTATCTCATTGGTTTAGATCTGAAAGGAGCTTATGACTTCATATGTCAGTACGGGCTACTTGCGAAGCTGGAGGTGCTAGGGATCAGCGGTCGAACTTTACATTGGCTTTCCTCCTTTGTCCTCCAGTGCTTCTTCCGAGTACTTTCCAGGGGAGTGCTCTACTTTTACCTTCATTTCAAACAGGGAGACCTGGAGGGGAGCATCCCCGCCCCACTACTATTTACACACTACATGGCTGACCTATGAAAAGCGCTTCTGCCCTTGGTCACAACTGTCCTTTACGCGGATAACTTGTATTTAATAGCGACTAGTACCAATCAGTCTCAAGCAGCTAACTACGCGCAACGAGCTTTAAATTCCTTGGACCACTGGGTGGCTAATTGAAGCCTTTCGTTATCTGCGAAAAAAAGTGCAGTAGTAGACTTCTCCCCTAAGCGTGGTCGCCCAGAATTCAGATTAACTCTGAGTTCTGGGAGCATCCCTCAACAGACTTCATTATGCATTCGTAGGGTCCATTTTCACCAGTCTTTCATGTGGATGGCTCACGCAGACTATCTGTGATTGAAATTGACGTGGGCCGGCTCTTAAAATATTTTACTTCCAGATGGACTGGTGCCCACAGGATGAGCATTTTATGCTTTACAAATGCAGTACTAAGTCTGATAGCTAAATTCAGGGCACATTTACTGGTAGGAGTGCCACCATTCACTCTTAAACATATTGACAAGCCGTTTCACGAGGCACTAAGGACAGTTTTAGGTGTGCCAAAAACAACTCCTCTTGTTTCCCTATTTGCAGAGACAGGGTACATTCCTCTGAGATCCAGACTTCATCTGAGGTCTCTCCCATGCCATGACACATATATCTAGAGGGACTTACAGCCCCCTCCACAGTCTTTTTTACTCGGCGGACAGTTTGTCCTTTTACTGATGGCGCCAATTTCAAGTCCCATACATTCCATACATTCATTGGGTTCTTGCGGAGATTCTTCATACAGGCATTCCCACAACTCACCTATTTCGGCAAAGTAGTGTGCCACCGTAATTGTTTAGTGTCCATAGCCCACTGAGCCTCGAGGACTTCCACAATACTTCGGGACTCTTGCCAGAGGTTACGAGAGCACATATCCAGTTTACTGTGACAACCAAATGGCCAGGATGGACAAAGATTGGGGTAGACGCCTCTAAAACTAAGACCCGCACTACTGTAAGAGTAGTGCTCTCGAGCAGTGACAAAATGGAAGTCTGGTCAATCCATGAGATAAGTTGCGTATTTGACGCAGAGGCTCAAGAGCTTCAGTACTCAGAGGGTGCCATGTGTCGTTAAGTGGACTCCAGGCCATTCAGAAATTCCTGTAAACGAAGCAACAGACAAAGCAGTACGCTAACATACTCTTATCAGTTCCATTTCGAAGACTGCCACGTAACCTTGCCATCACAGTCTGGAATGACACTGTCCATTTATTAACGGACTCCTGGACAGCTACTCCTCGGAGGAAAAGAAGAGCGTCTCCATCCCTTCACCGCATGGTATTATCATTATGCCTCAATAGTCATATGGAAACTATGCTGGCTCGGCTACACATGGAGACAGCCCCACTAAATGACTTCCTATATTCCTAACAACTAAGTGATTTTCCAAATTGCCCTCACTGCAGGGCGCAGGAAACAACCCTTCATTTTTCGTTGCAGTGCCTGCAATAAGCAAGTCCCCAACAAGATTTGGACACACCTCTGCACACTAACTTATCTCACACCAGTACTCTGCTTTCTATTTATTAGCCGGTGAACACAATTATTTCTCGCCATCATGGAACAAAACTTGAATTATACCTCACTTGCACCGGTCGCTTCCATTAATCAATGAGTGAGGTTGTGTCAGAGAAAGAGCCTACACGGATAACATCTCCATATTAACCTATTAGGAGAAGAAGAAGAAGAAGGTATGGATTAAAGCAAGAAACAAGTCTGTATGTCACCAGTTTCATTTTTAGAAATTCTTGTAATTTTAATTGGATATATTTTTGTGATTTTCAAAAAGGACTTTTTTAATTTCTGGCAATCAGTACCGTAAAAAGAAAGGTCATTCGCCAAGAAAGTGTAGTCTGGAACACGAGATAAATAAATGGTGGTTCCTTTTTGGACAGACTTTGTCTTCAGAAACTTAATTTGCCATTCTGACAAAAATGTGAATTGTGGATAAGTATTGAATACTTTATCGTTTAGATTAATAATTAGAATATGCTTATATTATGCTGAATTACTATTGGTTTAAATTTGCAAATGTCAGGAAATAAAAAAAAACAAAAAAAGCGCAATGTTTCTATTAACACATAGTAGAGTTTTCAACTTTTACCTAGCATTGATTTCTTCATACTGCAACTCTCCTACTTTCAATACGTCATAATAACAATCATACAAGTCAAATACAAGTATCTTAAATAAATTTATTGTAGTTAATTTTGAATTATTTTAGTTTTCAAAATAACACTCTGTAAAGAGATTAACAATTATGGGATTACAATAAATTTATTGCAATTTTATAATTGGAATCCTTCATTATAATTCGTTCTGTAACATTGGAGACAGAACGATTTCACGAAATGTACATAGTATGTCCATTTCTCTCGCTTACCTTCTGCTTTATAATACAAGATATTATAATGGCTATAATAATTCTGTATTCCAGATTAGAAAATTATTATTATAAAGATATTTCTTTATTATAATAATATACTTTTAATTATAATTACAATCATTAATTAAATAAATATTCAATTAAAATTAATGATTTGACATAGCTGAAATATTATAATCTTGTTACAATAATTATAATAATTTTAAGCACTTTTATCGTTTCTTAAGCTAAGGATGTTTACAGTAGTAACACCTTTAAGTTATTATTTATATGAAAAACTTTAGTTTTTCCAGTTCTGTAATTATAATACATAAATGCCATTAAATTAGTGCTATGAAATATTTTAAAATTATAAAACTCTTACATCTATAATTAAGTAAATTAAAAAAGTAATTTTAAAAATATTCGTAAAATTATAAATATTTTTCTATTGGAGGAGACTTACCTTGTATCTTTAATGCTAGAAATTACAATATTTTTATGCAAATACAGTAGAGCGTCAATTATTCGAATCAATTGGGGACTGGGGTTGTTCGTGGAAAAAAATATTTTGGATAACCGATTATGTATGAAAAAATATATTAATTTATCCCATGTTGAAATTTTTCTCCGTTGCGTGTTGCTTCGCCTTGAATTTTCGTCGATGTTAAGCCTAATAAAGACTATTGTATCGTTAAAAATTATTTTTTTATTTTGTACAAACAAATGAAAAATATAAAAACAATAAAAAATTATACTTCAGAAGTTAATTTAGTATCAAAAACGTAAAATATTTGAGTAGCCCAAGGAATAGCGAAAGATTGCAGTGCCACAGCACTGGCGAAAAATTAAATTTGCCGACTGGAATTCTTTCGGATAATTGACGTTTCGGATAATTGACGCTCTACTATATTATCAATTACGAATTGATCGGTTTATTGAAAAAGTGGAAAGAGTAGAAATTTGTTTAATTTAAATATATTATTTATATCACGTAACATTACTGTAATTTTACTGTGAATTATTTCGAATTGCAAAATTTTCTAGTACAGTATCAAAGAATTTAGTCATTATAAAACTGTGTAATTTTGAGTTTTTTCGTAAGGAATTTTACAGCATTCCAGTGCAAAACATGCAATAATTATCCGGAAAAACTTACAAAATAGAATACCTTTATAATAAATTTTGATACTATATAAGAGCAAGATGTTAGTCTAGATTATCATAATTTTTACTTAAGAAAAAACCCATTTACTTCCATTAAGTTGATGCTGTTTTGAAGTGATTCACCAATAATTCTAAATTATAAACTTATGCTTATAAATTTTTTCTATTGATGTTTTTTACAAATGATGTACAGTTAACTAATACGATTCCATTTTTATAACAATTAGATATTATTCGGGATCATACCTTTATCACAAGGAACATTAACTATATTCTGTATAATCAGAATCTCCAGGAATGTTCCAATAAAAACCCACGTTATAAAGACGCTGATTGCAGCTCTGAAAATATAAGTAAGATTTTCTGTTAGAAATAGAAATTACTAAATATGAAATACAGTAGAAAAAACATGTTAAGAAGTTTTTGAAGGAACTACTCTAAAAAAATCTTTTTAGGCGGGATCAGCTCTAATGGAAAATGTGTAAAAATAAATAAATTTTTAAAATTTATTTTATTTCGATATCAAGGTAATATATAACAAAACGTAGTAGAATATAGAAGAATAGTAAGGTGCACTAACTACAGAAGGTATTCAAGTGACTGGTGTCGATATGACGTTTCAATGGTTAATAGAGAGTATGGGGAAGGAGCAGGTTCAAAACAATATGACTCCAGCTGATTTAGCGACCACTTTTTTTAAAAAGTCATCTCTACTCTCAAGACTTAATTTTGAGAGTAAAGATGACATGTAAAAATAAATAATATTTTAAAATTTATTTTATTTGAATATCAAGGTAATATATAACGTAGTAGAATATAGAATAATAGTAAGGTGCTCTAACTACAGAAGGTATTCAAGTGACTGGTGTCGATATGACGTTTCAATGGTTAATAGACAGCATGGGGAAGGGGCAGGTTCAAGACAATATGACTCCAGCTAATTTAGCGATTACTTTTTAAAAAATAAATGTCATCTCTAATCTCAAGACTTAATTTTGAGAGTAGAGATGACATTTATATTAAACTTTTATATAACTTTTATATTAAAAATATAAAAGTTATATAAAAAATAAACTTTTATAGAAAAATATAAAAGTTTAACAATTTCATAACAGATGACGCCATACGCAGTTTTAAACATTGCCGGAAAGTTAAGCAACTCGTTGCTCCAATTTTTATACGTGATAAAGTTATGGTAAAAAAAGGATTACGATTTTTTTTCAACATAAACGTCTTCAATTGGTAAGATATCGTCGATGAGACTGATATTTTCGAATTTCTAATGCGGGAAAACGTGTTATGCAGGAAATTTTAACACAAATGTTATGCTGTGAATGCCAGGAGAAAAGAAATCGCACTTCTTTTGTGGGAAACCCTCTCAAGCGAGAACTTCGTAAACGGGTTCTGCTGTAATTTAAAAATATATTTGAAGAATTTCGTGAAAGATTATTACTTTTTTATAATTTTGTTTTCTTTTTATACTTTTCTATAAAAATTTTCTAAAAAATTAAAGAGTTGATAAGAAAAAACCAAGCAACACAATAAATCTGCTAACGAAAAATGCCTTCCTGGAGTACATTCGACAGGAAACTGGCTTTTAGGTGTTTGACATACGAAGAAAGCAAGAAATTCCACGTGGTGAGCTGTTGTTCACTTTCAAAGGAAGAACCAGCTGATAGCACTTGATATATTTATTCGTTAACCTAATTATATTGTAATACATGTCTTGTAATTACGAATTTGTCAATATTAATTACAATTGTGAATTTACTTTTTAATGTATTTCAAAATGAAGTTTTAAACTAATTTTAAATAGATGGTTATTTCTACAAGAAAAATTTCTAATTTTCATCTTTAATTTACAAACTTTTCGCACTTCTGTTTCAAATAATTGAAAATTATTTTATTAATATTATAATAAATTATACTTATTTATATGATTTGCTCACATAAATAATTAAACATTTTAAAAATATTTATAAATTTATTTTCATCATTTTCATAAAATAATATATGATAAAAATATCAACTGTTGTTATATTTTTATAAAATTTAAAACGCACATATATTATATTATTAGCACTTACATGCAAATTATTTGACTTGTAGACAGGCGAATCTTATCGTCTTTCACTTTGCAGAATTTCACCTCTGCTCTGTAAGAATCTTTCATTGCTGAAATGGCCAATAATTATTTAATTAATAATTAATTAACGTAAATTATAAGAAGAGTTAACGAACTGCTGATAACTTTTAATACGAAACAAAAGTAAAGTAGCACTTTGGATTGTTGAAATATTAAGTATAATTTAAAAACAATTACACATACACTATGTTGAAAATTTATGCCATTTTCCTGCAATATAATCCTAAGCATGCATATATACATACACATCTTCACGCTCATATATATTATTCTCCGCAGTTTATGTTAGTTTATGTTACTTATGTTATATTTAAAAAAAACTGTATAATGTCTTGTATTTTGTGTTTCTTGTCTTTATATATACTATATACGTTTCGGAATTGGTGTTAGTTATTATAAGTTAAGCCTCAGGCAATTTTTGATATTAATGTAATTAAATATAAAACATACTTAAAACTGAAAAAAACGAAACAAATGCGTTAATTTTGAAGAAAAAGCTTTAAATTTTATTTCGCTTTGTCTGTCCTTTCTGTGAAATTTGACACTGATGAGTCATTGTTTACACAGCTGGATGACCTTGAGAACAGCTGGAGTCAGATTTCCCGGGACATTCTCATAGAAGTCTCGGGAGGCGATGGGTTTATAGTAGGGTGAATACTTGTTGGTGGTATATTTTTTATATATTTTTAAAAAATTAAAATTTTTATTGCGATTTCCGACCCCCCGACATAATTAAACTTATATATAACTAGCTGTTACCCGCGACTTCGTCAGCGGAGGTTTTGCAAGCAAACCCCATTTACATCCAATATTTCAATAACCATAGTAATTGTTATATAACACCTACCGCTGAAGAGAATTGCCGAAAATCAAACGAACTATTTTCAATTTGATCAATTTTCTGAAACGTTTACAATCGTTCTATAATCGAACCAATACGCAATAACAAATTCGAATTTAAAAC